CTCAGCCAGGAACCTCCTGCTGCCTCCTCGCATTTTTTTACAGCATTGAATATTGCTGGGCGGGTAGCAGCAGCAGCAGCCACTGGGCAAGGCAACATCCAACGATGGCGCAAAAAGCAAAATGTGCCAAGTAAAATGATTTTTTTGCTGCCTTTTTTTTTGCCTCATTGACAAAGCTAAAAAAAATTGTTGTTGTCGCCTACATTTCGTGTGTTGCCTTCTTTTCTTTTTGCACACATTTTTCCATTCGTATTTCTATTTTTTTTCTATTCTTTTTTGCGCGCGCTTTGTTCACATGCATTTTTCACCCTGTCCAGCTGCTAAGTGCGCGCAAAAGGCGTTCATGTCCTTGCCACGCCCAGCCATCAAGAGGCGGCAGCTGGCACTGGCACTGGCACTGTCCATGCTCCTTCTGATGACAATAATGATCATCAGAACGATGCTGCTGCTGCTGCTGCTGCTGCCGCTGATGAGGACGATGCTGGGAATTGGTAAGGGAGGAGAATGGACAATGCTGCCAGCACTCTGCCACTGCCACTGCCACAGTCGGAGTTAGGTGTATGCCACATTAAAAGATGGCACAGCAGCCAACACATGTTGGGATATCTAGGTGCAGGGAGCGGGAGTGCGAGTGGCCGGAAAATGGAAATGGAAAATGCTAGCGCAAAAAAACATCATCCTCTCAACGCCTTCCTATGCCATGCAGAGGGTTGGCACTCACATGAACACAGAGGGGCGGAATGGAGAGGTAGGAGACACATTTATTGCTTATGCTGCACAGTGGGACACAAAAGTTCTCCTTCCCGCCCAAGAATCTCAATTACAAATGCAAAAGAAAAACCTCAAAAATAATTATTTTTGGCAAATTTTTGGTTTGCTGAGAGCGAAATGTTCACTTATTCCGATCAGTTGTTGGGTTGGTCCACTGTTTGTGTCCTGCTGTTTTACAAATGGAAATATGGGCAGTACCCCAGACAGCATCCCCTACCGTACAGTGTTGCCATTGCTGTGCTGTTGTTGGTTTGTTTTTGTTTCGCTTTTGTTTCGAACATTGTCGTTGTCGTTGTCGTTGTCGTCATTGCCCCTACTGGCCCAGTCGTGGCATTGTTGCGGGGCTGGCCCCGATTGTCGTTCTGCGAACGCCCCGAGCATAGACAACTTTAATGAATTTCCAGCGCTTCTCATGTGGCCTCCACTTCGCCGCTTCCCATGCAGAGAGGAATCTGGCACAGCAGGAGGAGCAGCAACAGCAGCAGCAGCGGGTGGTGCGGTGTGGTGTGGTTCCCAGGCCAGCAAAGGGGTTAAATAAGCGGTTAATTATGTGCTTAAAATTTCTGACATGACGCAGTGCAAATTATTTATTTACATTTTTATTTTTAGCGCATTTTGTGGCTGCTCGTTTCTGCTTTTTCACTGCGATTTATGGCCATGTGAAGTGTGCTGCTGCTCCATGGCAATTTAGATACATAAATTGGTGGCCGGAGAGCAGGACGAGGAGCGCAGCGAAATGCCACAACAGAAATTGACTCTAGGCGAACCGTGAACGCAGCGGCAATCGGCTGGCACGTGACGTATACGCAACGTGTGCCACGGCAAAACGGTGGCAAATGTACGTACGTACGAGGCAAACGCAAAAGCAGCAGCAAAGCCCTGGCCAACAACTTTTGCAAAAGTATTTATCTTTTTAGGTCAAATTTGGCTGCTACGTTTCGTCTTTTTTTATTTTTTATTTTTATTTTTATTTTTATTTTTGTCGATGGCCAACGTTTTGGGCAACGTTTTCTCCCAGCGCCCACTCTGCACTGGTGACCACTTAATTTGTTCTTGGGCCTTGGGGCAGCAGCCGCCCCAACTAGCAGCAAGTGTAATTAATAACTTTGTTTGCATAAGTGACCCGAAAAAAAGAACAGAGCAGAATGGAAAGCGGAACGACAAGCGAATGCGCACACTGAAAACCCCCCGGAGAAAGTCAAATAAAATGTATTAAAAAAGAGAACGAAGAAATGAACAGTAAAGAAATGGAAATGGAATGAATTTTCTTGAGCTCAGTCACAGAAGAAGATTCAACAAAAGGAAGCAAGCGGCAGGGAGAGAGATGTGGGACGTACATTTTATGTATGTATGAATATGTATATGTAGATGCATACATACTTGTATGTATATGTAGATATAAAGTTGCCCAATTAGGAGTGACATTGTCAAGGAGTTGGGGCACTATTTAATATCTGTTGGCAGGGCGGACGCGTACTCTCACTGCCGCTCCATCTCGCACTTTTCCTCCTCGTCGTCTTACATCTTTATCTGCTCAATTAGTATGCCATATGGGAGAAGCATTCCTACTCCTTCTCCCGCTGCTGCTGCATAAACAATATCACAGCCAGAGGGAAACAATTTTCGTTGGCAAAGGCCTGCACCAAGGCCGCGCTATAATTTAGCCTTTCCGCTGCTGCTTCGTTCGATAATACAGATTATGGCTGAAATATGCAAAACAGCGCCAAATATCGCTGCGAATGAAAACAAATGCCAGCAGTGGAAGGAAACAGAAAGAAGAAAGAAGGAAGGAGAAAGAAGGAAGGAGAGAAAGGAGAAGGGAAGACTAAGCAACTAACGCGCGCTGCGTGCGAGCATTCGAGGCGCATTCAAATGAGATAAGGCGGCGCCTTCTTCGTTCTTTTTTTGGCATTTTGGCAAACAGCAGCAGCATCATGCATGGCTGTACGTGTGTGTGTGTGTGTGTGTGTGTGTGTGGGTGGGATGTGTGTGCCATTAGATGGCAGCCAGCAATTGTACGCAGTTACGTTTCTATTAAACCAAAACAACCAGCACACTCGGAACTGGCTCCGGCTCTGGCTCTGGCATTTCTCCCAGGCTGCCTTGTCCTGGTCCACAGCCAACATAAAACCAAATGGCAACCAGCAACAATGTGGAGAGTATTGACAATATTCCTATGCCTCAAACTTAACACAAACGCTCAAGTTTTTACAGGGTATGCACAATGCATGCAGCAGCAGAGACGCCGCCGAAATGGAAATTGCGGCAGTGTGTGTGCCTGGGCTGTCATTTTTTCTTTGTTTTCCTTTCGGTGACATCTCTTTAAAACGCCATCCATTTCCCCTGTCACGCATTGACACTCACATTACCAGTGAGAGCAGTCAGCCGCAGTCAGCATTTACAAACATTCAAACGTTGAAAGTCGAGAAATAAATCGCTGGCTGCCTGACGTTAAGATTTCCGTTTAAATAATTCAAAAATTTGTCGAAATGACAAATTACGCGACTCCCTGCCAGCCTGCCAGGCATCCTGCTGCCTGCCTGCCTGCCTGCATGTGTTTCATTAATTTGGCGCAGCCTCCGACACAGCCATGGCAGATTTCCTTCACATACACACACGTGCCAAAAGGCACGGAAAAGCGAAAGAGCGGAAAAGCGCTGCGTGGCATTTCATTTTCATAAATTTTCGAGGCAAACGCCGCCGCCGCCGCCGCAGCCACAGCGACAAATGACAACGGCAGACTCAATCAATTTGCGCCCTTGTTAGGATTGAGAGGTGGCAAGGGGCACAGGGAGGGGCATGTGGGTTATGGGTGTGTGTGTGTGTGTGTGTGGCTGCGGCTTACCCCATATTGCTTTACGTGCCTAAATTTATGCTTATTAAAAAAAATCAGCAGTGCGCATCGAAAAGTCAACTTGGTTGACATTGCCCGGCAGGGCAAGGATGAACGCTGGATGGACTCTACACCGAGAGACTCTAACACACACTCACACACACCCACACATCGTTGTGGCCACAAAATGGCCGCCTGGCTGTCCATTTGCCAACCAGTTTTGTGTGCTAACTCCTGCTCGCTCGCCCTGTCTCTCCCCATCTGTGTGTCTGTCGGTGGCCGTGCTGGGGCTATCCCGTATGCCATTTAGGCCCCCCTGCCCAAATGGCAAATGTATTTAATGGCCAGCGATATATATTTTAAAAGCCATTACTGCATATGACAGCAAAAGATACATTGAGCGGGGCAGCTGGGCAGCTGGGCAGCTGGCGCAGGGCCGCCGCCGTTTAAATCTTTTTCGATTCAAGGCTAATGAAGTTAATCAACGAACACCAAAAAAAAAGTGCTAGAGTGTGGAGCATGCAATAATATGCCTCCCTGTCAGAATGATGCTGCAATAAGGCAAACAAAACAGCTGCGTGCCACAAACATAAAGTGCAGGGCAGGGGTTTGGTTTGCTCGTCCAAATATGCTCAGTCAGGGGTAAACAGATTTGCCAGCATTACGCATACGCCATGTGGATACACCAAATGCAGTCCATGCAAAAGTCCCCAACCATCCAGCAAGTCCTGTGCTGCAACTGCAGCTGCAACGATGAGCCTCGTATGTTGCCACTAATACAGTGCCCTGCCCAGCCCTGCCACAGCCATGCCACTCTTTTCGGTGCTGCTGCTGCTGCTGCTGGTGTACTTGTATCCTGACGATTTAGCTGATTTATGTTGATTTGTGTGCGAGAATGTTGGCAGTGGGAGGCAAAACGATTCCCGGTTGTACACAAAGCAGGCGGGCAGGGAGCAGGGAGCAGGGAGCAGGGAGGCAGCGAAACAGTTACGTTGCGTGCGCTTAAAGCCTGCACCAACAACAATACAGGGGGAGAAGGAGTGGAGCTGTGGGGCAGCCTACTGAGAACTACAACAACTGTGCCACTGTGATGCCGCCACACACACAAATATACAAATACACAAATACCAATGCAGAAAAGCTCTACACACGAGGCACAACTTTCCCCCTGCCCAAGAGCCGAGCGCAACTTTCCTGCTCCTGCCGAGAGCCGAGTGCCGAGTGCCGAGTGCTGAGTGGAGCGCTTCTCGTGTGCTGCTCGTCTGCTGGTCGCACCCTGAATTTTTCGCGGCTTCGTGATGTAAGTGGCACTGTGCCAGTCGGTCTCCGGTGCACGCTGCTCGGCTCTTTGCGTTCAAAAAAAAATCACAAAACACGCCCGAGCTTCGTCCCGTGAGCGAGTTGAGTCCGTGAGTCGAGTCGAGTCGAGTCGAGACGCCTGTCGTTGCCGTTAACGCCGAGCGGATGAAAATTTGTACACAGCGAGGCATAGATACATTTTCCACCATTTTTGGTATTGCAAAATGAAAATCAAATCCTAAAACCCAACGAAATTCCAACAGCACAAAAGGGAAAACCTAAATCAAAAACCTGACCTCAATGAACCGCGCGGCCAAGGCGAAGAAAAAACTCTTTTTGGCCAAGAGTTTCGCGAAAAAAAAGGCGTAACTGTTTCAGGATTGTGCATACAACTATTTGTGACTGTAGAGAGCAGAGTCCTGCCTGCCTGCCAGTGTGTGTGTGTGTGTGTGTGTGTGTGTACGAGTGTGCGTGAAAAAATCAAAGCAAAAGCAGTGAAGAAGGCAGAACGTAATGGATGGATATATTTAAATCGTTGTGCAGCGAATAAATTATAAAAATTATAATTAAGTAAAGCAGTGCACAGAGAGCGAGAGAGAGTGACAGAGTGACAGAGAGAGAGCGATAGAGAGAGAGTTTTAAGCTGAAGTAAAAACTGAGGAATTTCGTCTGCTGCTGTCTGCTGCAAAATGAAATCCCAAAAAACTTATTCCACCAACACGCACGTACGCACACAGCAGCACTCACACAAACACACATTCTAATACATATACACTCCATACTGGCACACTCAAATTTGGCCGAGTTTGCTCGGCACACAGACACAAAAGCAAAGCAAAGCAAAAGCCAAGAAGAAAATAGCAAAAAAAAGCGAAAAAACAGCAGTAAATAAATACAAAAGGCAACGGCAAAAAGGAGTCTGGTCCTGCTGCTGCTGCTGCTGCAACGTGTGGTATGTATGTGTGTGTGTGTGTGTGTGTGTGTACATCTACACATAGACATTTGTTTGCTTGTGGTAGACACTCGTCTTCGTGCGCTTTCATCGTCTTGGCTGGCAGCTGGCTTCCTTGTGGCTCCCTCCTGGCTCTTGGCTCTTTGCTTTTTGTTTAATTTTCAAGCAAATTGTTGGGCGGGTGGCGTCGTGCTCGTTGATTAGCCCCGAGGAGCGGGTGGAGCGCTGGCCTGGCCCGCATATTGCCGCTTTTAATTGCCAAAAACGTGCCCAGCCACACACATCAACAGGGCGACAGCCAGCGAGCGCGATGAGATGAGTGCAGAGAGAGAGAAAGACAGAGAAGAGAGCTGCTGGCGCCCTGCTCTTGATGATGACGATGATGATGTGGATGATGATGACAGCGGCCACGAGGTTAATGGCTTAAAGTCTTAGGCAATGCCAGTGCACAGGCCACGGTCCGCAGTCCCAACAGTCCCTCCAGCACATGAATATTTGAATGGCAGTTGACTATGAAATCCAGCTCGGCGCTCATTCATTCCACTCAATTTCGTTGAGTTTTATGAATAGCAAAAGGCAACTGAAGGATCCATAATTTCAACAACCCAAATGAAAGCTCAAAATTTCACGAATTTAACGAATTTAACGAACTGAAAGAGAGGCTTAAGTCCTTGCAAAATGCTCCTCCAGATGAGATAAACTTACGTTCGTGTTGGGGTTGGGGTTGGGCTTTGGCCTGATATTTGCCCATGAAAATGTTGCCTCTAAAATCTGATTAAGTAATTAGAAAGTTGGCAAAGGGCATTAAATATTTGCAAGTTGAAGTTAAGGACTGCATATTTAAGCGCAAACTTGTTATGTGTGCGCCATCAAATATGTACCAGCAACCAGAGGAGCGGTCTGGCTGCGGGATCGGGCAAGCACAAAAAAAAAAAACTCATTAATAACTGTCGTCGTGGCGCATACAATATGAAAATATTTATGCAAGCCAAACAAAAGCCGTTTAAAAAACATTAAGCCAAAGAGCAAACTGGGCTGTGGGCCGTGGGCCGTGGGCCGTGGGCTGGGGTGGAGCGGGTTCAGGCTCTGCAAGGTTCGGCAAGTGAAATGTAAAAAAGTAAAATGTAAAATGTCGAATGTGAGCTCGCACACACGCAGGCAAAGGCAACTCTTGCCATTTTAATTAATGTCAAACTCTTATCATTGAATATAAAATATGCAAAGGGAGAGCCAAAAGGAGAGGCAGAGGTTGAGTGAAAGCCGGTGAAAGCAGCTCACACATATTTGCATACTTACTGGTACGCGTATGTGGAATTTACATACAAAACCCGAGGCCTACAGCTAGCTTTTCTTTGTCAAGTTGAAACAATGCCACAGCACCACACACACGGCCCCAGCCCCTGCACAGTCCACCATCCATGTTGTTGCCTTGACAAAGCCTTTCGTTTGCTTGCTTTTTTTTTCTTTTGGTTTGCCGCAAAAAGCAATCACAGCAAAGGCACACGAACACACATGGACTCAGACTGAGACAGAGACAGAGACAGAGACAGAAGGCAAAAGGCATGCTTACCAATTAACGGGATATGTGCGAATGTGCGGCACAAAAAGCAGTGCCAGAAAGCGCGAGAAATTTGCGAAAGCATAAAAAGAGCCAAAGGGGTGGGGGCGGGAGGGAAGGAGAATAACCCAAGCAAAAACTGGGCACACAAATCACATGCGAAGAATTTATAAAAACACAAAACCAATACAAAAGCAAAGCGCGCACACAGCTAGATGATAGACATATGTATGTACATTTGTATGTAAATATGTATGTAAATATGTATATGGGTGAAAGAAGTGACAGGAGCAGCAGAGGTAGAGGCAGGCCGACTTGGGAGCCAAGTAGCAAGCGTTTATGCTAAACAGAGTGTAACTGCCGGGGTTGCCAGTTCGGAGAGTGCACGGTGACATTTCTCTGCAAAGAAGCCAAAAAGCATAACAACAAGGCAACACCAAGAGCACACAAAAGGCGCTCACCGACAGGCACACACAAAAGAGAGACAGAGAGTCAGAGTGAGAGCGCGCGAGACGGAGCTTTGCAGAGCTGCTTTCAGCCTTTCTGCCTGCCTGTGGCTCGTGCTATTTTTGGCACGACGCTTGGTCGCTCTCTCCCGCTCTCTCGCTCTCCCGCTCTCTGTGGCTGCAAAGCCTGTCTTTGGCTCCTAGCTGGCCAGCAGACTGGCAGCCAACTTGGTGGCCTGCCAAACGGTTTTCAAACGCTCAGCTGAGAAAATGTGACGGACGAAACGGCACAGGCACCAGGAACCGAAATCGCAGCGCTGACAAAAGCTGCCCCTAAGAAACGGCAACTCAACAAAATCTATACAAAAGTGTCTGCCGCTGTCGCTGTCGCTGCCGTCTCTGCTGTGTTGTGTGTATGTGTTGGGGGTCTCTGTTGTGTGTTGTGTGTGTGTTTGTGTATGCGTATGTATAAATTAGTTTGAGTGTGCCTGGCTCTGTGTGTATGCGTGTGTGTGAAGATGTTCTTTGGCAAAAAGCGTAAAATTATCAAGAGAAAAAACGCTTTCAAAATAATATAATAAAGATTTAAAAATTGGAAAGGGTTTATAAACTGTTAAAAAATGAAAAGTGAAATGCGAAAATAAAATCAGTGAAAAACTACACGAAAACTTACCAATTGGATTAGAAATTACAGTTTAAAACAAAATGCATTGAATTCTTGGTTAAAAAAGTGATAAAATGTTAAAATATTCGACTCATAAAACCCAAAGAAATGAAAGCCCAAAAATAAAATAAAAATTCAACAATATTAAAAACGATAACCAAAATTTAAGCCCAAAACCGAAATTTAATGAAATTAAAAGTCAATCCCTTAACGCAAAGAAATTAAAAAACCAAAGGAATTCAAACACACAAAAAATTAAAACAAAAATTCAAAAATTATGCAAAAAGTGTTTACAATCTGGCAAGCCACAAAATAAATTTGATCACCCATCAATATCCTTAAAGAATATCTGTATAAAACATTGGCCAAAAAATATTCATTAAAATCACTACAAAAATAACTAAAAGCGTGGACTAGCCCCTATCCAATTTCCTTAGCCAATAACCAAAACTTCAACTTATTTCCCATATTTTATTTTTCTACAATTTTCCAGTGTTAACGCTAAGAAAAAAACTTGAGCTAATAGAGACTATAAATAACTAGCAAATATGTCCCCTAGCCCCCCAGACGATAGACGCAACCGTGTTGGCAATTTAACGTACAATGCCAAAAGTTAAAGCGAAAGGCGACGCCACCAAACGACACAAATAAAATGAGGCAAGTGGCCTGCAACTACAACACCAACGGCAAGCATCGAGACAAGCAGGTTGCAGGCACTCCAGAGCAGAGCAGAACAACCACAGGAGGAGGAGCAATAGCAGGAGCCACAGCCAGGATATCGAACGAGCGATAAGATGGAGCGTCCGCTTGGATGACGACGAACTCAGAGACCCAAAGAAGCTGGCAACGAAATCAGGCACGAAACTGCTGCTGGAAACTGATGCCAAATTAGTGGCAGCATCCAAAAATAGCATCCGCATAGGGGCAACAAATAACGAAAAGAAACGAAATAGAATCGGAATCGGAAACGGAAACATGAACAGTGCGGATATTTTGTAATTATTAATGAGCGCATAGAGAGAGCGAGAGTGAGGGTCTGCTGCCGGAGGAGGAGTGCTGGAGGAGCGGAGGAACCACAAGCGGCGAAACCGAGCGATATACGTTGAGGGATAACACAGCATGTACATTCTGCTGGAGCTCAACTAACCCAGAGACACACACCACACACACCACACACACAGAATACACTCACCCAAGCCCAAGCCCGAACCGAGGAACCGAGAACCCAAGACCCAAACCCCCCCCGCAGACAGTTTCCCCACAGGACATCAGGCAGGAAAGGCAACGAAAGGCTCAATTTCAAGGAATTTGCAAAAAGCGCTCACCCACACCCACACCCACACCCACACACACACACAGAGACTGCTGCGAGTATGGGCTGCCTGCTGGAATCTCGTCAGGATAGAAGTAATTAAAAGTAAATAAAGCAGCAGGCAAGCAGCAGCAGCGGAGGCACAAAAAGGCTGCAGGGAAAAGCAGGAAGTAACCTGATTACGAGCAGCAGAAGAAAGCAGCAAAAAGGAACAACAACAACAGCACTTAATGTGACGCAGCAGCAGAAGCGAAGAAGTGATCCGCTGACTCGATCTCCCGCACCCGAAATAGCGCCAGGAACGAAGAGAGACAGAGAGAGAGAGAGAGAGAGAGAGAGAGTGGGAAAGCACAGAGAAACACAAAGAAACACTCGAAGCCATACATACACATGCACTGAAGTTACTGACTGAATGCCTCGCTGCCTAAACAACCAACTAACTCACTGACTGAGAGACTTCAACAAAGCGAAGGAAGAGCCCAAGACGCAAGAGCAGGACAGCAACAAACGAAGCAGCGGCAAAAGAAGGAGTAGCAAAAGTAGCGGAGAAAAGGAGCAACCTAAAACCTTGACTAATAACTGCAACTACAAGCAACAAGCAAATCAAGATAAAAGAGCAACCAAAAAACCAACTACAACAACAACAACTTACTTTATACGCAACTAAAAAAAATGAACATAAAACATACTTAAATTTTTAAATGCAAAAACTACGAGCAGCAAGCGCCACGCCAACATTTTAAATAAGCAAAAAATAACTAAAAAAAAAAACCAAAATCCAGCACAACTTCTCCTCTTTATAAAACCAAAACAGAACACCGAAAAACCAATAGCAGCCCCGACTTTTGCAACTTGCAAATAATTAGAAACCAAAAACCCAAACACAGCACCACCATGAGTGATTCAAGAATGGACAAATTGGCCAGAATGGCGCCGCTGAACCGCACACCTCTGCTGACCATCTGGCTGGCCATCAATGTGGCGCTGATCGCACAGGAAACGGGCAACAAACGCATCCACACAGTGCAGGCGGCGTAAGTATTCATTTAGTGTATTCATTTTGGTTAGTAATTACGAGTACTCCAATTAGTGACATTTACAGCTATCAATTAGGTTAATAACATCATAGAGTGGTCGGTCGTACGCTGCATTAAGTTATGTCCGAAAATGTGGCCCCACTCCACCACTCACTCCATACTCACTCCCTGTCTGCCTGAACTATAACAAACTACACTTGGGCCGCCAGTTATTATAACAATAAATTTGCTTTTGTGGCTGACACTTTTGCTGCAGTGGGGCAGCCCCCAGTCCGTGCCGCAGCCTTGGACAGGGCGACAGGTGCGTGCCTGTGTGTACATTTCGAGGTGTTTGGCCACCAACCCCCACAGGAGCCATAATTCATGGTAATTTATGATTATTCAAATCATTTTGCTGCAAAATGCGCTCAAAACTTTTGTCGAGCGACGCTAATTAGCCGACTATGACAGCCTGTTTTGACCTGGCCCTAAACAAATGCCACTCTCTCGTCCTCCCTCTTTCTCTCTCTCTCTATCTATCTCTCTATCTGACAATTTGAATAAGTGCAGCCCATTTATTAGGGGCAAAAGTTGGAGAGCTGTGTAGCTGGGATAGCTGGTATCTACATCGTCATTGTCACATTTGCATGTGGCAGTCATTAAAATGGCAGCAGGGACTGAAAAATGACAACTGCCACTCGATGGTCTTGTAATTACTCAGCGAACAGTGGACAGTCGAGAGAGGACAGTGAACAGTGGACAGTGGACAGACAGTTGGCGGACACTGGACTACGGACAGACAGTTGGCGGACAGAGTGTCGCTCTGTTTGTTTTTGGAAACAATTGTACAAGGATTCGACTAGCAGCCGGCCCTGCCCAACTGATTGGCACTTGTCACACGGACAGAGATGGAAAGAGAGGCACTGGGCAGACCACAGACCGCGAACAACCACAACACATGCGGACAACGCAAAGAAATTGCCACATTTGTGGCATTAGTTGTCAACGTCACTGTTGCCACAGCAGTTCCCATCGCAGTCCTCCCATTCTGTCAACTTAATCACACAAATTATGCAGGGCCAGGGCTCTGGTTGCTGTAGGACTCCTTTTTTTGTTGTGTTCTGTTCCTTTTTGGGTTAGCGCTCATTAGTAAATATTTAGGCGCCACACAGAGAGCCGCACTAACATTTGCATAACACGGCAACCTGGCAAATTAGGCAAATCAAAAGGGAAGGAACTGTGCCACAATGACTGCGAGAACTGTGAAAGCGACTCCAAAAATCCGACTCTGACTGCCACTGCCACTGCGACAACGACAACGACAACGACAACGTACTCAAGGTACAAATGCACGTTTATGGGATTACACGATCGCGTGCCCGGGACGAGGACGTAGCAGGGCGAGGACACGGAGATACACGCGACGTGGCATGATGCCTGCTGGCAGTGCCCCGGGCCACAGCCCTAACAAGAAGTCCAAAAATCTAGAATGTCGTGGCAAAAGTCGAGAACGACTCGAAGGCGACTCACACACAGCTCTGTTAGCTGTTTATTTGGGCCAAAAAGGCACAGGGCACAAGGCACAAGGCACAAGGCACAAAGCACAACGCAGAGGCAATGGCAAAAGGCAACGGCAGAGCAGAACAGCTCGGGCAAAAGTTTACGCTACTTTTTCATGCAACATTGCACAGGCGCCGTCACAAAGTACCGACTGTGCAACACAAAATGACAGCTTTGCCGAGTCAAAGTCCCCCGAGGTCTGGCCCAATCCTCTATCCCCACCCCCCTCCCCACAGCACCTTCTTCAGTCTCTCCACCCAAAAAAGGTTAAAGGCCAGAGCGACACAGTTTTGCTCACTTTACACGCTGCCACTTCCTGTGAGGCAAAAGCTCAGGCTGCTGTGTGCCACGCCCGGGCCACAAGTCTGCCTGCCACTGCCGCCTGCTGTGTGCGCCGTTGTGCTCCACTTGCCACACAAGTGCCCACTTCACTTGGAATTTATTGATAGCAGATAATGCCAAAGTGGCAGCGACAAAAGCAAAGACCACCCCGGGGCCTCGCGCCTCTCCAAGCAGGAGACTGCCTTGTCGTTCTGCCCAGTCAGGGCTCAGCCAGAGGCCAGCCTCAGCTGCCTTCTTACCATTTCTGTGTGTGTGTCCCGTCTGTATTTGTGTTTGTGTGTGTGCTTGTGGCAGCTGCATCACTCGTAGGCAGGCAGCGTCAACAGCTCGCCATCGAGTGTCATTGAGCGTAAATTGTTGTTCCTTCACATTTTGAGTATGATTGAAAATATCTACAAACGGGTCTGGGTCGTAGAAGGAGAGCAGCTCTTCGAAGCCCTTTCCTGGCCGTTCTCCGACTCGTTGTGTGTCTGTGTTTTCGCAGCCGTTGCCAGACAGGCCACATGCCTGCAGCTGCTTTGCAAATATTTAATAAAGCCCCCGGACAAGGCAGGTCTAATTTTGTTCACATTTACCCCCAGCAGAACACAGAACACAGAATCCCACAGAAAGAGCGCGAGAGCGAGGGGCAACTATTTTTATTGGCCTGACTGGAGGCGAAAGATATCCTTGCCCTGGGCATCGACAACGACACGGATGCCTGCCAATTGCTGTTCATTTTTGCAAAATGTCAAGGACTCGCCAATGCAATTCCATTTTTTATGCATTTACCTTGCCTCGCAGCCTCTGATCCACTCTCCTCCCAGCCACTCAGCCGGTTATTCGCTTGCTAGCCTTTCTTTTCTTATTTCCCATTTGGATTGGCTTGAGTTTAACTTAATCAAAAGGCCAAAGCGTTGCCTAAGACAAAGCAGGTTGCAAATTCCCAAAGTAATTGAATGGCAAAAGGATTTGCACATAAAATGGCTTCAAGATCGACTCGATAGCAGCTTCTAGAGTCCATTGGGCGTGGTCCAACTTGCGCCAACAACAAGCACATAATAGTTAATGCGTGTCCTGTGTCCCTGTCCCAGTCAGGCAGTCAGAGTCTTTTCCTGTGTATCTTGGGAGCTGCTAAGCGACTGTCGGACTGTCTGCTGGGCTGGGCTGGGCTGGGCTGGGCTGGGTTGCTGCTGTTGGCTCATGCCACTGGCTTATTAAGCGGATGTGTTTATTTTTAGCGACTGTCAGGCGGCTGTCAGGCATCAAGTTATCACTTTATTAAAAAACGCTTACTCACACTCGCCCAGGGCACAGGAAGGGACAGGAGGCAGCTCCGGGGAGGCAGGACAGCAGAGTGCCCACAGTCCAGCCACTGGCAGCTGCAGAGTGTTTTACTGCGCAGTGGAAGGGCCTAAACCAACTTTTGCTTATCTCTGCGTTGGCGTTTGCCAAGACACGGGACATGGGGGAAGCAGCCAGCGGCAAGCGGCAAGCGGAGACGGGAGACAGGCAGGAGGCTGCCAGGAAGGCAGCCAGGCAGGCTCACAGGCAGACTGCCAGATGAAGACAAAGAAAACGCTAAAAGAAAGATAATATTTGCTAGTAGTTCTAGCAGCATTTCCGCTTTGTTTTAACGTTTCACTTGAATTTATGCAATGGCGCGTGTCCAACGCAGCGTATACGTAATGGCTGGCACTCAAAGTGCCACTAAAAACGACAACACAGAGCGGAGCGACAACGGCAACGGCAACAAACAACAAATATTTCGTACAGCAGCGCACACTCACACACACATACACTGACCAACAGCCACACCCACTCACACACAAACACACACACACACACGAAGGGCCATAAACGTGCAGCGCCTGAAGATAAGGCAACAAACTGTGGGGCAGCAGCGATAAGATGGCTTGGCACTTGAGGCGACACGTTTTGGGCTTGGCTGTCGTGCGCATGACTGTGCATTTTAGGTTCGCTTTTCTTTTTTTTTGTTACAGTTACAGTTACAGTTACAGTTACAGTTACGGTTATTCTTTGGCTCTACTTTTGTTGCTGCTGCTGCCAGTTGTTGCTGCGAGCAGCTAATTGCATGTTGCACTGTGCCCCACTCCTGCAGCAGCTGCTGCCTCGATCAATAGGCAAATATTTGACGCCTCAAGTACGACCTATTGACATTTTGTAGTGCACTTAACGACAAGCACACACACGCTCTCCCTCTCACTCTCACTCTCACTCTCGTGCGTCTGCATAAATTATTTGACAATACGTTGGGCATAATATTAGTTTCACTTAGCCCTGACAGCGCAAGGCAATGCCAAGCCAAGGCATTGGCACATTTGCATATTACGTATACGCCACGGGTATTCCGGCTGGGGAGCGGCAATCGAAAAGTTTTTGGCGCGTCCTTCAAGTAATTTTTTATTGCAAGCTGTCAGAAACTTATTGACAGCACCTGCCAGCAAAAGTAGCGGCGGCAGTGCATAAATTATACTTTAATGGTTAGTCGGGGGAGAGGCAGAGCAGCAAATATTGCGCATACGCAGCAGGGTACAGTGAACACTAGAAGACAATAATCGCACCCACAGACACACATAATCTAAAACTCAAATCAAATAGCAATCAAAACTTTTTCATTATCAACAACGGGCCAAGAGGCACCCGAAAAAGTAAAACCGCAAATATCAACTGTTGTCAGGGACCCAGCAGCAGCAGCAGCAGCAGCAACAGCAGCAACAGGGGAGAGCGGTGCGTGGTGCGAGTATTTTCATATACATTTATAAATAGGCTGCCATTTTTGCCGTCGGCTTTCGCTTTGATGCCCACGCTGCGTATACACAATGGGCCCAGGCAATCGACTTGGGTTAAAGCTCAAGCGAGGCAAGAGCGGAAAACAAAAACAAAGAGAGAGCGAAGGAGAGAGCGAGAGAGGTGGGTGGCTCTCCCAAAAGGGAGAGCGAAAGTAGAGTGGAGCAGGGCAATGGCACGCCCAGGCTTGATTACAAAAAATATTCCACTGCATTTGGCAAAAATTAAAATCGCATCAAAATCAGCCAACAATCAGCCATAACAATCGACTTGCAAATGCTGCAAAATTGTGCCAAAATACATAAACACAATGCCTGAGATATTTCCGATACAAATGAAGGAGGTTCCGTGGCATCGAGGACGCGCACGCGCGTTTCCCAGAGACAGCAACTTCGGTCGCGGCTCATTTGTGGGGAGTGTGTTTATTTGCAGGCGCAACTTTTATTAAATTGTGATTTTGCTCACAAGCTCACACACGCACAGCCACTGGTAACATATATCTGGCCTGGGACATGGCTCGAGCAGCTGGGGCTCCGTGTGTGTGCGTGTGTGTGTGTGTGTGTGTGTGGCCGTGGCTCGGTCGCTCGGTCGCTCGGCCCGAGTTGAACTAACAACAAACGCGCTTTAATAGCACAGTTTAGCGTAGAATAGACGCAAATAAACAGGCATTGAAGTGCCTCGACCGGGTGACTGGTGCCTGGGACTTGGCCTGCTACATACATTTACATATATGTATACATTTATGTATGTTGGCTGCCTTCATTGCCAGGCACATGCAATAAATATAACATATACTCGTGTAGATTCGTGTGTGGGCGCACTTGATGCCGCATAAAGCGAAAGTAGCACACACACACACGAGCACACACGAGCACACACAGCACACATTGATAGCAGAGATAGAGGAGAAGCGACGGAGCAGAACAGAGGAGGCAGCCGTGGCAGCGCACTTAACCTGCAACGACCGCCGCCGAGCGCAATGTCTGTGTGTGGCAGCGTACCCTCTGTCAGTTTAGTTTTCCAGGAAACGCTAAAAGTCCTTGCCACACAGCGAGACAGGAGGGCAGACCAGCGTCAAACAAATAGTTCAAAACATAAATGCAGAGCGTGATAGATGCATATTCCACCCAGAGATCTCTGGCTCGAACTAATGAAATAATGAACTTTGGTTTCTTCTCTCTTTATAGCACTGGAGGTGGCAGCATGCTGGGTGACGTAAACATATCCGCGATACTCGACTCCTTTAGTGTTAGCTACGACAAAAGAGTAAGACCCAATTATGGTGGTAAGTACAACCAAACAACCCAACTACGGACACATTCAATCTAGATACATGTATCCAAAATCGAACCTGAAAACCGAAACGCGACTTGAACGAAAAAAAGAAAACTCAACAATTTGTAGGGGAACCTTAGCTAAACTCGTACTTGTGTCACTTTTGAACTGCAACTAACTATTTTTAATACCTATGCCGCACTCGTAACTGTGCTCTTAACTGTATCACCTACTAAAACATGCGTGTTTGCAGGACCTCCTGTCGAAGTCGGAGTCACCATGTATGTGCTATCGATCAGCTCGCTCTCAGAAGTGAAAATGGTACAAAAAAATATAAAAAAATAAATGAAAACTCTTTGTACCTCTATTTCTATTTTTATCGTTAAGCGCTCTTTCCTATCGCTCGCTCTCTCTCTCTCTATCTGTCTGTCTCCCTCTCTCTCTCTGTAATTCTGTAATTGTCTATCAAACTTTCCTCTATCCTGTAATCTCTAAATCTAACTCTGTCTTTGGTCTTTGTTGTTGGAGTTCTTTGTTCGAAATTTTTACGTTCTTTTGTTGGGTTTTATGTTTTCGTATTTCAACTGTTTTGCTTTGTATGAAAATCTTTCTCTTTACTTATATATAGCCTTAAACCGATCTATTATTTCCCAACTGTTTACCAAAGTACACCAGTTGAAAGTTTTATTTTGCCGTTTCTTAGCCCACACGCGATTTTATTTCGATTTCTTTTGTATTTATTATACTTTGTTAGTCTCTCTTTTTGGTTATTTTATAGTACTATAAATCTCTCCAGCTCTCTTTCAAATATTTTGTTCTGGCCTTTCGCTGTGTTTCAGTGGACTTCAAAACTTAAATAAATACTTTGGCCCTCCCCAGCTCTGTGTAGGTTTTCGTTCTGTGACTCGATTTAGTTGCCATTCAATGGCACTCCAAAGCAAAGGGCAAGGCGTCACTCCCCAACCCACCCCCTTTCGCTCAGCATCGCCAAGCACATTGTAAACTAAATGTTGACTCTCTCTCTCTCTCCCCCACTCTCTCTTTCTCTTTGTCTCTCCCCCTAACCGTAACCGATTGGCAAAAGCTTCTTATGTTCAACTTCTTCAACTCTCAGCCAACGGGACTTTGGTTCTTGCTGCTGCTCACCTCGTTACTTTTAGCTCTCTCTCTCGCTCTCTGTGTGTGTGTTTGTGTATGTCTAATTGGCTGAGCACATGCAAAAAATTACCCAAAACACGAGCACAAAACAGAAACAAATCCACTACAGCCGCAGCCACAGAAACAACATCATTCTCCTCCCCTCCTCTTCGCGTTTCCTAATTCTGTGTACATATCGAAAGGAACACTGCAAGCCCTCAGCAGATCTCTTCTCCCACTCACTTCATGCATATTGTTTTTGTCTTTCTTTTTATAGGCCCCACATAACAAACTTACACACAAAACAAAGCCTTCAGATCAATATCATTCCATGTACAACTGCTGCCAAATTTTGCCAGACCCATAAAAAACACAAACAAAAACCCAAGCTGCAATAAATATATAAGCAAAAGCAAAGAAAACAAAAATGGTGTGTTAAATACGAGTAAATATTTTCCATAATTGTTAGTTTTTGGTAATCTTTAATTTCCTTTCGCTAGGCGCATTTTAGTTCAAGCCTCAGCCACTAAAATAAATTACTTAAAAACTAAAAGCAAGCAAAAAAACACTCAGCAAATAGTTAATTGATTTGGTTTTCATTCGGCGCGTGCAATAAGTTAAAAGTGAGCACAAAATGTAGTTAATTATAGCAACAACAAAAACAAAAACCTGCCGCACCGCTTGGCAAACTGTAAATGTCAAAAACTGTACTTTAAATATATTTCATTTTGCTAATGGAAATTACACGGCACCCAACGAGATCGAAACAAAAGAAACTCTGTCCCACCCCCCGAAATGTCCATTCGCTCGTAAGTAGGCAGCGCACACAGTGCGCGACAACAGTGTGCGTACGCCCAGTCCATTGTTCTACTGTTCACATGGACATATTTTTGGGTTTTTTTGGAGTACATTTAGAATATGAAGAACCTACAACTACGCGAACTACTGTTACAACCAACGACAACATTAAACAAAAATGAAATGAAAAATGATAAATGATAAATGAATATGAAAACATTAAATTTCCATCCATCCGTGTGTGTGTATATGTTGCAGGTCCCCCTGTGGAGGTTGGCGTCACAATGTATGTCCTCAGTATCAGTTCGGTTTCGGAAGTTCTCATGGTACATACGTCAACAAAATATATGCCACAAAAAAAAAAAAACACAACAAAAAACAACCACAAATAAATACAACATAACATACAACAACAACAAAAGAAAATATAAAAAAACAACCAACGTTTTTTCTTTGATTTATTCTTTTTAGCAAAAAGCCTAAAAACCAAAAAAGAATTCATACAAAAACTACTCGTATACTTCCTTATTTCTCTCAGTCTCTTCCAACTGTTACTACCTATAACTATTTCTCTATAAATCTCTCGCTCTCTCTATCTCTCTCTCTCTCTCTGTCTCTACCTCGTTTCTCTGCCACTCTCTCTCTCCCTCTCTGTTGCTCTGTTGCTTTGTGTCTTAGCATTTGCTATTCATGTCTACATAAACTTATATTTAATTTCGCTAATTGGCTATGAGACATACAAATTACTTTGCAATTATTTTTGACTCACTTACATTAAAGCCGATTCCGATTTTAACAAAGCAAACTGCAAATAGTCCTGTATAATCTATACATAAATATGTATATACAAAAGTACTGCAAAAAATTAAGTGTTGGTTGCAAACATAAAATATGATACTCGTTTTGTGTTTATTGTTTCGATGTCAAGATGTTCGCAATGTTTGTTTCGATGTTCCATGTTTCATTTGTGTTATACAAGAAAACAATTCAAAGCTTCTCAACCAACGACAAACTGCCGACAGAAATACATATGTAAATGCAAGTCAAAACTCAGACTTTACACAACGAGAATACATAATAAAATCCAGACAATTGCATTTTATGTGCTGATCTTTCCTTCATTTATGTCTCTATCTATCACAACTTTTTGCTGCTTTGAAGCTCTCATGGATTCATGAATTTTCCTTAATTTTATTTATTTGCCTTTGGCTTTTCTTTGTCTTCACTGCATCCCTCACCATCGATGACTGTTTAAGCCATGAAAATTGGTAGAAAATCAATCAATCGAATTGCTGTATAAATCTTTGTTTATCGTCTCATTCAGCACATGGCTGAGGTTCATTCAACCGCCCAACAAACCCCATCCCCACCCACATACACACAGACACAATGTGTTGGGCCCACCAGCGAGCAACGAGAGATATTTATGCCATATTCATACACAATATATACTCCTATATATTATAAACATCTTGCAAGCTAATTGTATTCGTTGTGATCTGAACAATTGCAAAAATTAAGCCAAAATTAATCACAGCAGCACCGCTCGACAGAGGCTGCGCGCATGCGTGTTTTGTTAACAAAATGAATATGAATAAAATATCCAATATACTATAACATACATACATATAAGCAAGCTCGGTGTTAGACAAAAATGATATATGGCCATTGCATACATGTACAAGTGGACTCGTATGTGCCTGTTTCTGTGTTACCATTTTCGTTGATCTTCATTTGTTTATCGAGGGAAACAGCTTTAAAAAGAGGCCAAGTCTGTCTTCATTTAGTGTGAAATTCTTTTTTTTTTATATTGGAATTTAAGACATTTTATCTTTACAAAAATCGAACCATAAAATTGTCCATTTCTGTGCTTATTTTTCTTATATTTTAACTCTTTTTTTTGGGAAAGGCTTAAGCAAGCAAATATGGGCCTTAATTGGGTTTCAATTGGAGTTTTTTCATTGAATCTGTGGGGATTTCTTAATTGCTTTAATGCATTCAACTGCTACAAATTGATTGCTATCTAAAATACAAATATTTTCTGCATTGTTGCACGTTTGTACTGGTTAAACGATTTAAATTCTTCTAAGCTTATTTCAGTACCTTTTCTTTGACTATCTAAAACAACCTGAAACCAGCTCTGGGAGCCTATAGAATTCAACACTCAAAGTAACCCACAGCAATTGTTAGCCAAGTCATTTCTAATCGAAGCATTCCATCAATTATCTAACACATTACTCGTAATTTCACAACAACTCGGCCAGCCATGAGTTCGATAAATAGAGAGCATCAGCAGGCGAGACCCATCGATGTAATGCATCTCAATTGGCAGACACGAGAATTCCATTATATTATAAATATTACTTGGAGAGCGTTACGTTGCAAAAGCACTTAAGAAGACCTCCCACACACACACACACACACACACCGAGAAGTACAATAGCAACTGCCGCACCCGTTGCATACTGCTAGGCGCAACGACACGTGCAGCAGCACACAAACACAAACACACACACACACACACACACACAAGCAGCAAGCTCTTGCCGTACGCTAATAAAACACAAAATGAACCGACACCTGCACCTAACGTTTGGCTTTGGCAATCAATTTATGCGAAAATAACATGCCCAACAGGAACTTAAACACGAACCGAAACACGAAACTTATGCAACAAACATACATGTTATGTATACATATGTACGTGTACATACATACGTATTTATGTATGTACATAACAGCCAAAGAAAACACATTAACAACAATAACAGCAACAGCAACAGCAACAGAAATAACATGTGTTCCCTTCCCGATCACAATTTTCACAATATTCGTTTAATTCTCTCATTCTCACTCTTGCTTACTCAGTCACTCTCTCTCTCTCTCTCTCTTTGTGTGTCAGTAAGAAAACAAAAAATATACGCTTTACGCTGCTAATGAAAATAATTCCAAAATAAACTGAGCCAATGCCAAACCGAAACAAGAACAACAACACAGATACACACACGCATACAGATACAGCTACAACTACAGATACTCAGACACAGACACTCAGCTACAGCTACTCAGCTACACTGACAACGCAGACAAAATTTACACAAGTAAAACCCATCCAATCCAATCCAATCCAATCCAAACCAAACCAATCCAGCGAGGCAGTAAAAATCAACATGACACAGGCACAACAAAGTCAACAACGAACACGACTGTTTGGGAGACAACAGAAACAAAAGAAACAACGAAACAAAGATAACATAAAGAAAAGCCGAAGCATTTCATACCCTTGCACTTCGAAATAACTTCGATGGGATAAAAGAATTCCCTTAGAAATAATTACGTCTGAACAAAATCATAATACCCTGGCTGAAAGGGTACACACAAAAATACACACAAGCTACATGCATACAAATATATACATATGTAAATTGTAAATGGTATAAAAAACTATATATATATAAAAGAAAAACAAACAACTCGATATAGAGCCGCGCACGTTTTTGGGTTAATTGTGATGCCATTGTACCCACATGCCCACTCCGTACCCGTACCCGAACATGCACATAAATATCCGCATTTAGAGTTGATTTTGTGTGTGTGTGTGTGTGCCGACAAATAAAAGCAGGTTGTCCCCTCGCCACCCCACGGGAGAACCCTTCTAGTCAAGGCCTGGCAACCCAATCGTGTAGCAACTTAAGCAAAATTGCATAATCCACATTGAGTTTTATTTCCGCTTTTGATTTTGGACTTTTAAAATGTATATTTTATTGTTCGAAATCCTTATTTTATTTTGTGCGTGCCTGAACCGAGTGGAAACCAAATCTGCTAGCTTGAAATTAAATAAAGATAAGCCCAAAAAAACACACACAGCAAAAAGTGCTAAGAAGATTGCAGGCAACCCACCAAGAACCGTGTGCAATTTTCGCATCATAAATAATATATATACCCATGTAGATATGTTTTTGTACTCGTATGTACATATATGCCATTTAGATATACTCGTAAAAGCTCAGTTTGCGTTAAAGTACTGCCAAAAAAGCAAGCCGTGTGTGGCGGCAGTGGGCTCCATAAATATTTATAACTACTTACAAATGTTATTACCTGCTAGCTACAAGCCACAAACTATTGTTATAACATTTACATTTGCATTTACCTTTAACATTTACATTTACATGGTTTTCCGTTTAATTTTTTGGTACGTTGTCGGCTTCTTGTATGCCCCACGTCACAGAGGTAACAACGTGACGCGCTTCAAGATAGCCGTAGTCGAACCCGTAACCGTACTCCTGCCCGTGCCCGCACCCTTACCCCTAGGCGTAATGATATGCAAGACTGAGAGAAACAACTCGAGTAGTTGTCTTTGGCCCTTATGACCTCGCACACACTCACTCTCATACACACACACACACACACACACACACTAGACACACAGATACAAACAGAGCATACAAAAGCCAAATTTGTTTGTCGTTTTTACAATTCCCCCATCGAATCCAAAACCAAACCACACACAAGGCAGGCCAAAAAATGCTTCTTTCTGTGCCTTAAAACCTACACAGAACGCTTTCAGCTTCGTGGCACTGCAGCAGGACAAGCAGAATCAAGCCAACAACGATACTCCTGTATAAAGTGAACCCATTCTTGCGCCATTCTTATTTGCCATAGATTTAGCTAGCATATACTCTTAGACCCTCCCCTGAAAAGTAGCTAGAAAAGCCAAAGCTACTTCACACCACAGCAAAACGAATCAAACGAATATTTGTGAGAGGTTTCCGTACTACTTTTCTATGCTTATACGTACCTATCCCTACCTTCTCTTTAGCTACTGTATATAAGCTGATTAAAAATGTTTAAAATTCATTTTACTTTGATTATTTGTTTGTTTCATATGTACCCCAAAACGCTGTACAAAGTTTCAATGTTTTTTGCATGCAGTCTAGAGATCCCTCCCCCATCCGAAGACCTATTTCCCTTTGTATAAACTGAAAAATTGTTGCACGCCATGAATTTTCCTTGATTTCCATTTGCCGCAAGTTACTTTTCTTTGTGTGTTTGTGTTAAGTGTATTCGTTGTTTGACCAAATTGTGACCAACAAAAAAAACAAGCTCCTTTCTTCCAGCTAATTTCCGTCTCCCTCTCTCTGTCTGTCTCTCTATGAATTTTTTTTAGTTGAACAAAATCAAAATTTTTTTATAAAAACACACACAAAACTTATGAGTTGCTAGTGTTTGAGTTTTTAGATTTTTTTAGTGATTTAGAACTACATACTAGTATTAGTAACATAACTCTAACTAATAAGTGCCTCACTGACAATTTGTACTAATACGAAAATACCTCTCAATCTCTTTTTGCTACCTCTTTCCCCCACCCGTACCATGTGTATCGCAATCGAATTGAATCGAATTGTGAATATATTAAATAGGACTTCACATTGGATTTTTACTTTCGTCAATTTTGGACCGATCCTCGTTTAGCGTATAGAAAACGACCTGGTGTAGAGACACTGTCGGTTGGATCAGAGTTCATAAAGAATATTTGGGTACCTGACACCTTTTTTGTAAATGAAAAACAATCATATTTTCACATTGCAACAACCAGTAATGAATTCATACGTGTGCATCATTCTGGATCGATAACAAGAAGTATTAGGTAAAAATCAATCAATCAATTCAATCAAACAATCTACTGCAACTCCCAAAAACTCTAAGCGCTAAGCTCTAAGCTCTGAAACTGAAAAGCAAAGCATTTTACCATTTTTTAATTGTCTTCTGTATATGTGTATGTGTATTTACAACTATTTTTACAAAGCCCCCATCCAAAAAAAAAACAAAATTTACGTTATAAAATACAGCAAATACTTCAAATACTCGTACTATATCCCCCCCTCGGTTTTGTTTTACAATTATCATTTACACATGTGTGTTTTTGGCCCCCTTTTTGCAACTAACCTTTTTTTTCTGTGTGTGTATAAATCGATGTTGTAATTTACTAAATCAAATACCGAAAATGACAAATTTCTACAGAACGAAAAACGAGTTTTCCACCAAGCGAGAATATTGTAATTCAACAATTCAAGTGAGTTCAATTGGCAAGTGAAAGTGAAAGAAAGTTTGGCAAAGATACGTATTTATTTGAATGCTAGGGAAGTAGCATTTGTACATTTCATGAGAGTCATCATCGGTTAGAGGTGTGCAACTATCAATTTGAACTGAAAGTCTACTCTGGCTACAAGCATTAAGTGTTCACACCCGAAATTTCTATTTAAGTTCCATCAGTCATGTCACACTCTATCGTCATTTCCAACTGTGCGGCCCATGAAGTATACAAAAGCATGCCGCACTAGTACCACCATCACAAAAACTACAAGAAAGTAAAGTCCAAAAATCAAACATCAAAAGCAGCAACAATCGTCGAACATTTAACCATCCGGAGATAGCATCTGAAAAAATACGAAGGGTACCCGTACCGTAAATAAAAAGAAAAAGAGGGGTGTATCTGACACCACCAAAAGGTTTGACTGGCCGCAGTAGCTAGTTGATAGCTAGCTAGGCTACTGGGCGCACTATTTTCTACTACCTTTAAACAAGAATCTGTCCAAAATCGCCAACAAAACCAGAGCAGCCCACAGCCCACAGCCCACAGCCCACAGTCCACAGACCATAGCCCAAGCAAAAGGCAAACTGAAATAAGTATGAGTAGAGTATCATTTTCCGTAGCCGTAAGCAACAACAAACAACAACAACAACCAAAACCGCCCCCCGAACTAAAGTAAGCCAAAAAGCCAACAACCAAAAGTTCATGATAATAATTATACCCTGCGTAAGAGCCAATCGCCAATCACTATCTACAACTAAACTGCCACTGCCACTAAAAGTATCTCTCACTTACCAAAAAACAGCAGCAGCATAAAATATATATTTAACTAATAACAATAACAAATAGCTCATATCCAATTGAACTCGCTCTGTATGTAATGACTCTACCCCCAGACCTTACCCCCGTAAATGTTGTGTGTATATACATAGATAGAATGTAATTTCTTTGTACCCTCTGCTCGTTTGTTTGTTGATGTTCACCCTTGAAACCGTCTGCATAAGCCCTACTAATCGAGTACTCTCTCTCTCCTGCAAAATGGAACCAAAATTGCCAAATCTTTTCTACAGATTGACTATCACCGCATCGTGTCCGATGAACCTGCAATATTTCCCAATGGACCGGCAGCTGTGCCACATTGAAATAGAAAGCTGTAAGTACTTTTGATTCAAATTACATTCCCATCTAGCAATAGACAAGTACGAAATGAACAAAAATAATATCAATCAAGCATAAAGCCAATTGAAATGGAAACAAAAGCTTTAATTTGAATATTTATTGTGAAACTTGTCAATGAATCATGTGAACAAAAATATATAAAAAACTCATTCAGAATGTGAAGCCAAAATGCAGCGAGAGGTCGAGGCTAGAGGGCCAGAGCGAGTAGGCTAGTGTTGCTTAACACTCTAGGACGCAATGCCAGTGTTGTCAAGTGCACCTTTTAAGCATCATCCCCACTGAGCTCTGGCCGCCCACTCCAAAAATCTCTCTCTCTCCCTCTCTCACGCAAAGGCCGTGCGCTGTTTGTTCAGTGTGGGCAGAAAATTGAAACCAAGCATAAGTATGTATGTGAAGGATACCAAATCTATATCCTAGTAGATTTTAAGTGCCTCAAAACACCCACACAAACACACAGAAAATCTTCAGGAAAAAGCAATTAAGCTGCCGCTGCCGCTGCCGCTGCCTTTGATGACAATTTGGGGAGGAGCACATAGCAAATATATATTTTGTCTCGCAGAAAATCCAAATCGAAATCAAATTCGAATACAATTTACGTGCAATTAATTGTCTTTAGGCGGAGCTCAGGTCGAATTAAGTTGCTTTGTTTGTGTTGCTTTGCGTTTAGTCAGCTGAGGTTTTAGTTTTACTTTCAAAAATTCCGATTTTCAGTTTTCGTTGTGCATCATTTTGTTCAACCAAAATTGTCCCGCCCCACCCCCACAACCGCAACACATTCAGTTCTGCTCATTCAAAAATTCAGAGTCCCACCTCAGACATTAATTTACAGCTATTGTTCTTATGTTTGTTTCTTGAACCCACCCCCCCAAAAAAAAATAACAAAACCAAAATCAATATGTTGCACAGTCGCCATGTGAGATGTGTACCCAAGTTTCATCTGCATCTACCCGAATGATTTAAACCCCAACCAGCAATCAATCAGTATCAGTATCTATAATGCATCATGATCATAGAACTTCATAGAACCAGTGACCATTCATGGAGAAGATTGGTTGGTTTTCGGTCGCCTTCTCTCACTTACAGCAACCGCAGAAGGCGCAGAAGGCTCTCCAGCGCAAAGGCGATTATCTGATGACTCCAAATGTGACTCTCTGTCACTTCCCCCATAATCTTGCCTATATCCTCTCTTATGCCCCCTGTTAACTTAGCCTAAGAACGAGTCCGACGTAGCTATAAGTCCAACTACCCATACACAGCACGCTTTTTGCTTAAGATCTACATTATTTATTGTATATTTATTGCCATATCATAAATAATCGGGCATAAAGAAGTCACACTCAAGCACACAGACTATCGTAGCCCTAAGAATGTATAACCATATATAACATTGAGTGTCTTGTGCAACAGTCCCCAACCCAACCAACCCGCTAACTAACAAGAATACAACACAAAAAATTCAAACAAACCAGAACAAATACAAACAAACAAACAGTAACAACAATTAATTAACTACTGCCCCCCATTTTTGCAACAATTACTACTACTACTACAACAACAACAACTACAACAACGATCTTCGATCTGAAACATGAAGTCGGTTACACGATGCGAGATATCCGATATTTCTGGAGAGATGGACTGAGTAGTGTTGGCATGAGCAGTGAGGTCGAATTACCGCAGTTCCGTGTCTTGGGACACAGGCAGAGGGCGACCGAAATAAACCTAACCACAGGTACCCCCATACATTACAAACAAATCATTAAAAACTAAATAAAAAAAACCACAAAAAAAAAGAATCTGTGAATAAAAAAAAATAATCACATTAACATTTCCTTTGTTTTTGACAAGCATTTTTCAATGAACTTTTTGTAATCATTTTGCGTTTTCGTAATGGATTTCCGTATTCGTATTCGTATTTTGAGTTTCTGTTTTTTCGAAAAAAAAGGGTTCTTAGCGCATATCCAAAACACGCACCTCTTAACCAATCAACCAATCAACCAACCAACCAACCGATTTTTTGTGTTTCCTCTGCCTTCCTCTACTTCTACTTCTACTTGTTCTTCCTTCACCCATATACAAAAATATATACATATTTATCAGTATATCTTTATCGAGTGCTAACTGTAACGTGTGTGCCACTAACCAAAAAGAAACCCTCCTTCAAACCTAACCCCAACTAAAACCCATCTAAATACTTAACCCATACATATATATACATACATTATATATATATATATATCTACATATATATCGTGTCCTCTACTAACCTCTGTTGTGATTTATACTTTCGTTTTGCCTTCTGTTCTGTTCTGTTCCAAATCAATTAACAGATCAGTCTTGGAAGCAGTTAGAGACGTAGCGAGGCGTTAGCTAGGCCAAAAAGGATTTATGGTTTTCAGTTACTATTTCTGTTTCAGTTTCAGTTATTTTCGAGTCGCAAGAGAGTCGAGTTTCGTTTGCTTGGGTAGGCTAAAACTACAGCTACAACGCTAATAAAAATCTAAGAAATCTAATTAAGAAATGCGAAAACAATGTAAAATGCCTTTAACTAAACAGAAGACACAAGAGCACCCATTTCTGCCACCAGATAAAATAACAACAAATACCTATAACTAGCTATACGTCTAAGTACCTTAGCTTTAAGCAATCCAATCCAATACTACTGCCAATAAGAACAAACAGTAGCTGTAAGTCAATCCAGAGAGTGTGCCTACTAAATGCTCATCCAACTTTTATTCTAGTAAACCGCTTTTGCCAAAAATAAAACGAACCCGATGCAAAACTTATTGCCTTTTTTAGTCCTAGTGCAATTGTAATATATGAACAACATTTATATTATATTATATTCTTAGAACTTCTTCTCGAGATAAATCAAAAAATATATTTTTGAACAACACTTCAAGCAGCAAGTTCTGAATGAGACTATTAATTAAAGCAAAACAACAACCAAAACTTGATACCAAATGTTCAACCAAAAATAAGAAGAAAAACTGAAAGAACTGAAAACTGATGAAAAACCAGCAGAAAAAAATACTATTGACTTTTCTTTAGAACAATTTTTATATGATCGAATAGAATCTATTAATAGTCTCACGAAATGTATTTTTTGTTTTGTGCATATTTTTCGTCAACAACAACAACAACAACAACAACTACGACAACCTCACCATCGAACTGTGCCTCAACAACAACAACAACAACAACAATAACAACAACAACTGTAAAATAAACTCGCCCAAACCAAAATACCCTACAAAACACACACCAAAAACCTGTACAAAAAACAACTTTCCAACACGAAAACCAACCAACAACGAAACAACAACAACAACAACCCAACTTACTATATACACAATATATAGTCGGCTACACGATGCGTGACATACGATATAAATGGAACGAGGGCCCCAACTCGGTCGGTGTCTCGAGTGAGGTATCGCTGCCCCAATTTAAGGTCTTGGGCCATCGTCAAAGAGCCATGGAAATCAGTCTTACCACAGGTACCTGTAGACGGTTACCGATTTATCTTTCAAAACTTTACTTTTACCTACATATACATATATATATATATATACCCAAATATATATCTATATGATGATATATATAAATATACAATCTATAAATATATCTCGTTTTGATTTTGCGTTTTCGATTCAATTCAATTCAATACTCTTGAGGCTCTTCAGTTCGATTTGTTGGCTTAACTCGTTTTGGTTTTTTCCTTTCTCGATTCAAACTAATTTCGAAGCAGCATTTTGTATAAAGTACTCCAAAATTCAATCATTCAAATCAATCCAAAAACAGGGCAGGTCCTTGCCGCAAAAAACTTGGGCTTTAACGAAAGGATGGAACCGACATGCTGGTTGAAGCACACATCCCAAAGAGTGTGCTTCAGTCAGGAGAGAGCAAAGAAAATGCATGTTAAGCATCTTAAGATTTTTACATTAATTTCTATTTCCATAAAAATATAGCTAGCGTTTGTTTCATCAACTAATCTACTCCATAGCATACTCGTACTCGTACAAATAAAGTTAACAAATAACTAAACTATCAACAAACAACAAATAACAAGTGCATTTAACATTAGCCCACTTCATAGTCTAGCCACAGCCTGATCTGATGATAGACTGAGACGCGTCTTAGTGCTTTTTCCACTCGTACTCGAATCTCGTATATCCACAGGATAACATACTCGTACTCGTACTTTTTAAAGTTTAAACGCAAATTCAACGCATGTTACAACCAGCTAGCAACAATTTTTTACCGATTCAGTTCGTTCATCAAATTGATTTCCTTTTACCGCTTACTTTTTTCTTTTTAAATAAATCTCAGTTAAGTTCGCTTTGATTTCAACGCTCATTAGTTCATACTTTACAGCGATTCAATCACGATTTGAGACCACAGGAATCAATGCAAAATTGGCACTGCCAAAATGAAAAATTTATTTAAAATTAAACCGAATCAAAAACAGAATTCAAACTGAAAATGAACGTACAATTAATCTGCCCCCTAGTCACCTTTGTATCATAAAACCGAATAAGCAAAGAGTACAAATATCTTAAAAATATCCAAAAGTATGACAAAAGTATTCGATATACTACTAGCGAAGCTTAACTGAATATGGCTTTTACTTAGTAAATCATGCTTTTGATTTATGCCTGACATTAAACATTTTTTAAGCTGCCACAAACACACACACACTCTCATGCTCTCACACACTTCCACTCACACATTAATTTTATTAACTAGTCACGGAATTAGTTCTTACTACAATTTTAAAAAATAATAATAAAAAATATAACTACAACAGCCATCTACAAAAGTATTTTAAATAAAAACGCTATCGAAACTCATTAGCATAACCGAACAACAATTACAATAACAAACTACAACAATCGACACCAACAACCACATTCTGTATTGTAAATCAAAAACAACAAAAAGCATTAATATGAAAATCCAAAAAAAAAATTATTACCATGCTAAAAATTTTACGCAAAAAGCATTCAAACGATAGAAATACAAAATTAGCGAACAGTCGCAAGCCAGAACCGAAAAATATATAAAGTTCCAAAAACCATATCTCAAATATCTAAAAAAAATATATATATATATTTATCGAAAATATACAAAAAACGCCCTCCCAAGCATGCTCTCATCTTATAAAGTTTTTTTTTTACCAAATCTTAACAAAATAATAAATACAATAATCAAAAGACAACGATCAAGCAACAAGTTGCAGGCAATTCGAGTGCGAAATGCTCCTAACTTAGGCCTTAGACTAGATCTAGATGCCTCCTACTCATTACTATTCTTTTAGTTTTATTTATTCTTTAACTTATCAGGACTCGCAGTATGTTTTTTGTTTTTCTAATGCAAGTCACTAAACATTAAACTCTCTCTCTCTCTTTTATTAACAAAGATTTAAAGCAACTTCGGTCGAGTCGAAGTTTCGATATCCTTGCAGAATTCTTTATATTCATTTCATTTCTGCGTCTGTAAATCAATTTTCTTAACACTTATATAACACTCTATAACTCGATTTGTATCTTATAAATAATCTGCAAGGATAATATTAACTTTTGAATGCCTAGAATATATTTTCAAGTTTAGTTCTTGACCTTAGCTTTGACTTGACTTTGACTTTTGCCATTTCGTTTATAACCCATATTTAAGTGTTAACATACATATATATATCTGATCTGTATATTGAAGTATCTTGCCTGCCTGATAAATGAAGCGATGTGTGTCGCCTAGAACGAAATCTAACCGTATTTCCAGGAAGGATTGCCAGTCAATCATTATTTCTCATGAAAATGCGCTCATACTTAATTAATTATCTCTTCATTTGACTTTTGTCTGGGTTTGAGTTTTCTTTTTGATTTGATGTTTGAAATATGAGTTTGTTGAACAATATTTTGTGTTTTTCTTTGGTGAGGAATACTTACTAACATTGTTTGTTCGTTGATATTTGCAAAACGAAATGGACTTCAATGAAATACATACTAATAATATCTTGTTTATATCTTTCTCGATCTCTCTCTTTCTGTCTCTCCCAATTTCCGCACAAAAAACAAACTAAAAACTGAAAACAATGAAAACAAAAAACTAAAAAAATAAACTAAAAATTAACTTATCAAAATAATGGAAAACAAAATATCAAATATGAATTATGGTTTATAATGCGATGAATAATTGAATGAATGATTGAAAAATTGAATAAATAATTGAACAATGATTGGCGCGGGCAGGAAACTATTCGCGTTTAGCCTGCGAAATTCAGTTCGTGCGCTCGATGGGCTACTACCTTATACAAATCTACATACCCTCTGGACTGATCGTTATTATATCATGGGTATCATTTTGGCTCAATCGCAATGCAACGCCGGCGCGTGTGGCGCTCGGTGTGACAACCGTGTTGACAATGACCACTTTGATGTCGTCAACAAATGCAGCGCTGCCAAAGATTTCGTACGTCAAATCGATTGACGTCTATCTGGGAACATGCTTCGTTATGGTCTTTGCCAGTCTACTGGGTAATCAAATAGCAACTACCAAAACAATCCAAAAAACCAAATACCAAATACCAAATACCAAAAACCAAGCCAAAAACTAACTCCAAGCAACCCATTCAGTAAAAACAACCAACTAGAAAAACTCTATTTCCCCATAACTCTCTCTCTCTCTATAACTCTCTCTATCTCTCACCCACACAGCCACACCACACCACAGAGAGTTGCATACATACATATGTATCTACCATGTAGTATGTATGTATGTCTATGTATGTATGTACTCTTTGTGGTTTTTCCTTTTGATTATTTCACATTTACGTTTCCGTATGATTTTGTATATGGGCCGAGGACATCTACATAGTAAATGTCTTGTGTCCGCTTTGAGTTTTCTTTTTAAATCACACTTTTGCCAGCTTTCCTTGCCACGCTTAGCGTTGTGCAGCCAAGATACAAGATACAACATACAGATACATCCAACACACACACACACACAAATTTCCTCTGCAAAACGAGCTGCGTCTGAAGAAAATTCTCCTTAAATTTGACATACATTAAATACGTACATTTCTATCAAATATCAATCCCATTTGGTCGTACCGAAACGCAGCGTGGTTTTGCCTCTCCACGGTAGTTTATTTTCTAACTTTTACATTTTTTACAACAAAAAAATACATAATATTTCACATTATTATGGAGCCAACAGACTGACGCGAGAGTCTCTATCCATAAGGATGCTGAAATGCACTGCACCGAAAAGGCACTGTATAAGGGTCTGGCACCTGTCCAAAAGTTTGATATAATTATACATTCATTCGAAACGATATTTCCATTCAAAATTCTGTGTGTTTTTTGCCAAGTAAATATCTCAAGCTTCGGTGCTGACCCCATCAAAAAAAAGCTAACTTTTAACTTTTTCTCTAACTATCTAACAACTTAAAAAATACAATTCTCAAGCAACAACTTACACCCACAACTACAACAACAACTACTCCAACAAACAGCAACAACAACAGCAAGAAAGAAAGAAAGAATGAAAAGAATGAAAAGAACAGAAAAGAAAAGAACAGAAAAGAAAAGAAAAGCAAAGAAAAAGCAAGAAACAAATCTCTTTTTTCGTATTTGTATGTTATTGTTAATTTTCTCTTTACAAAGAAAAACTATCATCTAAAGAAAATGTATGCAAATTCATAGATACGCGCCTCAGTACCAAGAATGAAGGCACGAAAATTTCCCAACAGCAGTTCCCCCAACACCTCTGCCCAGAGTCTCCATCCCTCAAGCCACCCACTCTCCAAAACCAAAGAGAAAAGAGACGAAACGAAACGAAAAGAAAAGAAATATCCAAAAATGTTTTGCACATTGCACATAGAATCGAAGCATGCTTCAGCTCTCAAAATACCCAAAAAAAAAGTTAAATCCAAAATCAAACCTCAAACCTCAAACCCAACTCATTCAGCCATATTAGCCTCTCAATATTAAATACCATATATATGCCATATATAGCATAGCGCCGACTCAGGTTGAGCTGTGGTGTTCAAAAATCTCACACATACACTCACAAGTGAGCGAACACACTCCCAACCTGAAATGGTACCCAGATATCAATATACGCCCAGCTTCCGCCATAACGCAAAATGCCAAAATGCTAAATCGCAAACCGAAATAAGAATGTACAAAACATCAAAAACAACGCACCAACCAAAAAAAAACCATCTAGAGCCCAGCCCGGGTACGATTGCTCGATTACATATTATACTCGTATAAATCACCTAAAATTACCATCAATAAAATTTAACCATAATAAGGGAGCGCATCAAAAAAGAAACGTAACGAAACGATACGAAACGAAACGAAAACCAGCATGCCCTGCGCCACACCTGGCTTGACTCGCGATTGAATTGAATCAAAAACAATATACGAAAAATAGAAAAATACAGACACAGTACACTGTAAATATGGTTCAACAAGTCGGCGATCAACAGCCAGCAGACGCAGCCCTGGACTAGACATCAGTCATCAGACATCAGCCACTCAAAAACCCCAAAGTGTCCGAAATGAAACATATCTGACGATTTGGAGCCCTCAAGTTTGGGTCACTTAAATGGGTGGCCCAGACATGATGGCTGCCAGATCTAATACAGAGTTTTCGGTAGTGCCAATGCCTTTTGCGGTTAGGTAAGATATGATTTTTGTAGTCTGCTTTCTGTTTTGTTTTATTGCCTTTTGCAGCAATTGGTGTGCCGCGACTCGCTGGGGTAAGTAAATTCGTTACTAGTTATTCGTTCCTCGTTACTTCCTGCCCATCCATATGCATTTACGTATGTGTACGTATTGATCAAACCACATTCATCAACGAGTATGCGATGCTTTGGGACTTAATCTCGTATGTTATCCTCCTAACCCTCGTACTTACCCAATCCCCCCACAAAACCCGCTCAATCAATTCGATATTGAAATACGAATCAGAAACAGAATCAACGCATGCAGAAAGCAAAACATTTTCAAGGATAACAACGACAACAATAACGGCAGGAACAACAACAGCAGCAAGAAGCATCGGAGGCAGAAAAACAAAACGCTGGAAATTTTTGTGTCCTTTATAACGGGCGACTCTGTTCAATGAATTTGCATTTGAGGCACGCACATGAACATTTTCCTTGAATGATGGTCGCAACTGCAGAAATAAATGTGTACATAAATCGTTTGGCTTACAAATGACTTTTTCCACTCATTTCACAAAAACAAAGACAGCAAACAACACTCTCACTCACTCACTCACTCACTCAGTCATTCAGTCAGTCAGTCACCCACTCGCTCACTCGCTCACTCACCCACTCGCTCACTCTCAGACACTCAGGCACTCACACTCGCAGACACACACAAAAAACACTACACAGACACTCTTCACTTGCTCTGTCTATATCTCCTTCTCTCTCTCTATCTATAGAAATTTATAGCTAACTCTCTCACAGACACCCAATCACACTCACACAACCAATCACACACCACCCAAGACTTGCTTTATTCGAATTTTCCTTTGCCTGGCTAAAAAGAAAAAGAGAAAGAAAATTTACTTAAATTTCTTGATTTCACTTAACAACAAAACAAAACCAGAAACGAACACTGAACAACAAAGTCTATATTCGTTCGAAAAAATGGCTCTAAGTATTACTTAGCTATAGATTCATTCCTACTACTACTACAGCTATAACCCCGGCCTATAACCTAACCGAAAACCTCTGAACTATATCTCTGCCACTCACCGTTTTAGACGTTGTGCCATACTGAACTGAAATTTGAATGCCAAATTCCTTATTAAAATTGAAATTTCTTTTGCTTTTCTATTTGTCTTTCCTTTTATCCATCCGATTAATATGCCAAAAAAAACTCTGTACTACCCCGCACCAAATTATCAATCAATCAAATATGTTATATACAATATATACTCGTACTTCTGCTACAACTACAACCAATCAACCAACAACCAATCAACAAAATATCATCCGAAACATCATATGGAAACTCAAACTCGAACTCGACTTGCCTCAAAATTCTTCAACTGCATCCGCATCAATATCAAAAATCAAAATCAATATCGAATCAAAATCAAAATCAAAATCAAAATCTCCCCCCACCCACCTGTACGCCAACCGTTCATCTATCGAAAAACTATCAACAAATTCCAAATGCCTTACCAATTCGATTACCAATTATCAAACAAAAATCAAACTCAAATCAAACAAAATCAAATCGTTATCGTTATCGTATATCGCAATCAATAGAATACGCCACCGTCGGCTACATGGCAAAACGAATTCAAATGCGAAAACAAAGATTTATGGCGATCCAAAAGATAGCCGAGCAGAAAAAGCAACAGCTCGACGGGGCCCAGCAGCAGGCCAATCCAAATCCGAACGCATCCATGGGGATGGGTGGAGGAGGTGGCGGTGGCGTTAACGCCGGTGGAGGCGGCGTCGGTGGTGGCGTTGGTGTCGGCGTTGGCGTTAACGTCGGCATGGGCATGGGTCCTGAGCATGGGCATGGGCATGGTCACCATGCCCACAGCCATGGTCATCCGCATGCGCCCAAACAAACAGTGAGTAACCGCCCAATCGGCTTTTCCAATATCCAACAAAACGTTGGTACGCGCGGTTGCTCGATAGTGGGACCCTTGTTCCAGGAGGTGAGATTCAAGGTCCACGACCCGAAGGCCCACTCCAAGGGCGGGACCCTGGAGAACACGGTGAACGGTGGTCGAGGCGGCCCCCAATCCCACGGACCCGGACCAACGCCCGGCGGCGGTGGACCCGGTGGCGGCGGCGGCGGTGGTGGTGGTGGAGGTGGCGGACCGCCAGATGGCGGTGGCGATCCCGAAGCAGCGGTCCCAGCCCACTTATTGCATCCCGGCAAAGTAAAAAAGGTAAAGGTAAAGATCGTACATGATGCGGCGATATATAACTAAGTTCTAACTCCCATTTGAGTGTATATTAATCCACTTTACTTGTCTCCCTAATCCACCTACAACTACTTGGATTCCTTGCCATTTGTACTCCCCAATCCTGCAGGACATCAACAAACTGCTGGGCATCACGCCCTCGGATATTGACAAGTATTCGCGCATTGTGTTCCCTGTGTGCTTTGTCTGCTTCAACCTGATGTACTGGATCATCTACCTGCATGTGAGCGACGTGGTCGCCGATGATCTGGTGCTGCTCGGCGAGGAGTAAAGAGTGCGTCGAGGGTGCTCCAGGATCACCAGGAACAGGAGTGAACAGCGCACGAGAGAGTCAAACTGTGCAAGGCGCTGAAAAACCACACAAAAACGAAGAAGGAAAACCACAAAAAAACAAAAACCAAACCAAAAATAAAGAAGCGGAAACAAAACTAATTTTAACTAGCGATACGAAGGAATACAAGACAACAAGTTATTGTTTAATACTAATGGACACACACACATATTTAAAGGTGGACAGCAAAGCATATTGTTAAATAGATTTACACAAAGCGGAAAAAACAACAAAGCATTAGAATTAACACGGAAAAAAATGAATATAAATGAAAAATGAATGAAGAATAATCAAAAGCAACAGATTAGCAAAATGTAGTGAAAATTATATAAACGAAAGGTTTAAGCGAACATGTTGAAAAAGGGATTTAAAAACCATTAAAACCACAAATATAAACGATCAAAAATCATACGCAATATAGACATTAAAGAAAAGTGAAGAGAGGAAAGTGAAAGTGAAATCGAATGAGAAAGAGATTACTAAGGAGATTAGAAACTACAAAATAGCGCAGTCGATAAAGTTGATTTCAAAGTTGACCACAAAGTTAAACAACACACAGTACATATAGTAGAAGAATTAACCAAAACGAATGAATTATATAGACCATACTCTAGGATGAATGATTTCCATTATCTTTGCGGAGTTTTGTGCTTAAGTTTAAGTACCGAAACACCCTTTGCTTCCCACTTCAAAAGCAAAACACCCAGAGAGTCTTCCTCTAATTTAAGTGCGTTTTTTCCCTCAACCCGCCCACCTCCAACTTCAGCAGCACGCTCTCCGAATCGAACCAATAGGTAGAGATCAGAACCAGAAACTTAACCCAAAATTTGGTACATCGATTCTAGTTTGATTGCCCATTCAGTTGGTTTGATTGATTTGTTTATTCAGAACTGACTTAGCGCTTCCAAGTGAAATGGCCAAATTTATTAGAAAATCAAAACGTAAGGCGATGAACAAATTTCGACAATTGAGAAACAATTTAGCAAATCTTTTTGATTAAGTTAACTTTAAATACACAGAGAAACACACACACACACACACACACACACACACATAAAATAACCATTCGACTAGAGTCGAATTGGTGGGGAGGAGAAAGAGAGTTTTAATCATTTTGCACACCAGAATAATAAATGGGGAAAACCCAAGAAATACTACGAATTACTTTGGAGCGCACCTTTTATAAAGAAGCAAGCTGGCAAGCTGGCAAGCTGGCAAGCTGTCAAGCATCGTGGATAAGTCATACAAATAGTTAGTGCAATTGAAATAGCTAAATAATACATAATAGGAACGATAATGTTTCATTTTAGTTACACCAAACAAATTTTTGATAACAACTTTAAACTTTAACGAACAAAGAACAAATTATTCAAATTGCACTCACTCAAACAATCCACTCACTCACTGACTCACTCACTTACCAATATGATGGATGCTCCACACAAGAATCAAACTCAAGAACTTTTCGAAGACAATTTTGCGGCACCATTTAAGAAATCAATCTAAGGTCTACATAAGTGAGAAAACCCAATAAGAGAAAAATACAAGTAAATTTAAAGGAAATACAAAATACAGAAAAATATAACATAGAGAGCATAGAGCATAGAAATATGTGTACACAAGTAATGAATGAATGAAAACTGCCTAAGAACATAGTATTTAAGTCTAACAAATAGTTGCCTAAACAATAGGAGAAGGGGATTGAGAATTGATTTCCAATTTGTATATAAGAAGGAGGAGGAGGCTAAATACTCGATACATACTCATCAACAGCAGAAAGCAAACGCAAAAGCAAAAGCAAATGCAAAGTAGGAGCAAAACTTCGCAATTGAATTAAAACTTAGTTAATGTAATTAAATCTAGTTAAGCGATTAACTCGGATACGTTCAAGCAGTCAATAAAGCGATTAACATACAAATGATACTTACGAGTGCACCGTCTTAAGTTAGCCTAATGAACAAATAAAGACAGAGACACAAACACAGACACACGGACACACAAACACACTGACAACACACATACATACATAAATATATATGTATGAAATTTTCGCTCAAGTTCCTCGATGAATCACATGAAACATAAGAACAACAAACCAAAAGCAAAGGTTAAGTTAATTAACACATAAATTAAAGGCAAGTGAGTTTAACTTTAAAACAAAAATAAGCAAAAATAAAAAAAGTGAAGAATATACAAGAAATTCAAATTAACTTTAGCACAAGTGAAGGTCGGGAGAGATATATAATTAGACGTAAGCGAAAACCATACCAAAATATCATCAATGAATTTTAATTTAGTGTTTATGATTAGTGGAAGCAAGGAAGTGGATGGCGAACGGGTCGAATCGCAAGGCTAAAGAATTTTGTACAGTTTAGCTAAAGTTAATGCTAGGAATTAGGTATACACCATAATATGGTCAAGGTATGATAGTAACACTCCAAAAACACACACACTACCAGACACACACACACACACACACAGATCTATGTATATGTATATAGAGTATGGCATAAGTATACACAATTATATATATATATTGATATATATATATCGTATTTAGGCACCTACATATATGTAGCACGAGTTTTTTATATGTAAACCCCTAATCCAAATGAAACCAATTAATTGTATATACGAACAAAAAGTACTTATGAATGGAACCCAGCTATGGAAACCCTAGAGATTAACACAGTAGCAGGAAGCGAAGAAGGATGAAGATGGTGATGACCCTTGGTCCCCCCCGAACTTGAGGCAAACCTAACCAAGAACTCCGCCAGACAACAGACAGAAAGAAGTACAGAAGTGAACCCAAGGAAAAATTACTTTATTAAAGATCTAGACAGACACAAACACACACACGTAATACACACACACACATGTTTATCCGAGACAGCGAAAAAGAGTCGAGTAATCGACTATTCGATACCCTTCAGCCATAACTGAGTAATCAGCAGAGATTGCCTTTTGTCTGTCTGTTTCACAATAAGAATGGATAAATCGTGCAATTTACATTTTATACATTCCGACAGCAAATTGGATCGTATGGCCTATGGGTATCCGTATCCCCGTAAAACCCCAAAAATAACTAAGAAATTGAGCAAAATAAAAGCAATATAATGTTTGAAGTAATTAATTGATTAACTGATTAATGTTTGAGTTAAATGAGAAAAGGATTTGAAGCAGAACTGCAATTGATCTACCATTTCCCCAAAAAGAAAATAATTACACAGCCCCCGACACTTGGCATCATAAAATCGGTGATAAAAAAGAACATGAAAGAAACAGATAGAAGATATATCCATATAGAGAGAACACACTCATATATATATACACCTATATATATTTTGTAGCTATACAAGTGTCAGAAATCAATTATGTTACCGAAAGACAGAAATCAAAATGAAAAATGATATACACAAAAACCACTACTATAATGCATGCGAGAGTATCAGTTCGAGTATCCCCTATATAAAGTCAAATCAATTTTTGAGAGAACAACAACAACAACAACAACAAATAGCTGCTCAACGGTTTCGGAGCGTATTTCCAAAGAACGTAAATTAATGAGAAAAACAAAAACGAATAACAGAAAAAAAACCATTTTAGTTGTAACAAATTGCAAACGGCAAAAAATAGTTGAGAAACATTTTAAGAGACAAACTAACTTAATGGCAAATTGATGCGTTTAATTTTTCATATGGAATTTTTTACTCTACACTTAGTTTACGATATAATTTGTGGGGCAACCCACAGAGAGGGGTGCAAAACCAATTTAGTTGGCCATAGTGAGAACTTTTTTATGAAACAAATTAAATGATGAAGTGACGTGCAGTGACAGGTGACAGCAGATTGCCTACATATGATCGCAAAAAAAAAGCATTTAGGACAAAAAGGCAGAGAGACAACAATTGAAAGCGATGAGAATATGTAAAATGTTAAATTATACACACAATGAAAAATGTTTAAAGCATTTTTGGTGTTGCTGTTTAGACGGCGACACCAACACCAACGTTTTATATAAAGCAACCAACAAAATATATATATGAGAAGGGGATGGATATATATATATATGTACGTGACATGATGTAATAATTGCGTATGTATGTATAATGTATATTTAATTATATTATATATGTATATGGTGGTCTCAAACAAAACAAACAAACAAAGAAAGAAACAAAGAAACGTAAAAACAAAACGAGAAATTCTAAAGTATCTAGATAAGCAAATGAACAAGTTGAGAACCTTAGGGCTTAAGTTGAACCACACACACACACACACACAACAGACACGGATACATACCAAATACCAGATACAAGATACAGATACAGTATAGCTAACAGAACCCCTGCATTCCTGCATAGTGCACCAGAAACTAATAAAAGCAAAATGTGGCATTTTTAAAATGAATTCCGAGTTAATGCAAGTGAATATTATTATGGAGTCTACATATAATCCCCAAACCCACAGGCGATACGGATTGAGATTGAGCCATGAATTGTTAGCCAACACTAGTGCAATGAAAACACTTAACCAACACTGACACTCAGACACACCACACACACACATACACTTATGGTTGTACGTTGCATAATTTATCATTTGTTGCATCATTATTAACACCCAGAATCCCCATAATAATGTTGACAGGCTCCACCTTTTGCTCAAGCAAAGTAAAACATGCGAATAAATTTGTTGTTACATTTTAAGATTAGATATCCCCACACCCAGCCACACCCCTCCTCTACCAACCACTCGCTACCCGCAGGCACTGGCTACTAAACAATCTCTAGATATGTGTATATGATTTGTCTGTCAATCAACCAGCTCTCGAGTCTCAAATCATTACCAACATCATCATGCAGTTACTTAGAAGTTCGGTCTTCAAGCAGTTCAACGAAATGTATCTATACTCGTACTCGTATAATTTTTGGTTTTATCCGTCCATCAAAAAGAGTTCCTAAATGCAATAAATGAACATTTTTTATGATTACCATTCAGCCAGCCTGCAAAACATCTTCCAATGTCCTCCTACACCTTCCTATTCCATCCTACTGCCCACACGTCTGCTCTGCTGTCAATTATTGGTTATTACTATACCCTCATCTGACCCTTTACATTTCGGTTGCTCAACCCATCAGATTCTTAACAATACACCCATCCCCTCCACATACATAGCTACCATGTAAGCAGGAATATGTTTGAGATACATGTTGAGAGGGAGAAGAAGAAATAATTTAAAACGTAATGCGTAAATGCGTATATGTAATGATTGATCACTGATCACAAATTTTGACTGTGTTAATTTCGTTATATAAAATGAATAAAACAAAATTAAAAATACCAAAAAAAATAAAGCGAAACTGAAATGAAATAAACAAAATAAATAATTATCTATAGCATAAAAAAAAAAACAAAACAAAAACCAATTAAAATAAACACACACATGAAAATGAAACCAGAAAATAAACGAGCGATGAATGTTACCAGAAAGTAAAATGATAAAAAAAACAAGAAACCCAAGAATGGAACCTATATTTAATAAGTTAAATACTAAAACTAAAAAAAACATCCAAGTGGACAAAACGCAAACCAAGAAGAAAAATATTATAATATTGCAATGAAGTGAATATAAATAAAGATATGTAAAAAAAAATTACAAAAAAAATTAAATACAGACATGAGTTTTTTTTCCAGTAGAAGAGGTATTTCAATGGGTTTTATTTCCAGTAAAACTCGTACACTTCTTCGCTTGCTTGAAAGTGGAAATTTGTTTATTTTTGTGAGTGGTTCCGAACAGAGGGTTGTCTTTTTGTTTGTTAAACTCAGGAATTACATACAATTACAATACATTTGGTTCAAGTATTCAAGTTCGTTTTTTCATTAGTTTAAACTGTATGTTATGGTAAATATCATATCGTTGAATATGTGTGTATAAGGAGACGTCATCCGATTGAGTTAGGCATTGAGGAGAGAGTATTCGAGTATTCGCAAACAAAGTCTCTGATTGAGTAGGCATTTCACTAATTTCTCTTCAATTACTTAACCATTTCTGGCCATTCCAACACATTAACTTAGTTCATTTAACTAGACACGGAAAAACATTTAACTAATTAGGCTAGGGTTTTGCAATTACAATTACAACAATATTTTTGTGGGTAACCGTTTACATTCAATTTGTTGTGCAGAACTCCTAGGATTGCGAGTACGAGTGAATCAAACAGACAAAAAACAGAACAGAACTGAATTGACTTGGTAGAACTCTGCTTGGCTGTTTGTTCTTAACTGATTGTTAACTTGGCTAATACATTACGGTTCGGATCTCAAGCACAATGGTTAACATAAGGCGGCTAAAGTACTGGACTTAGATATATATACAATACATATTTTTTATTGCTCGATTAGTTGCTGTTGCTGTTGCTGTTGCTGATATTCGAAGACCGACCCGTGTCAGAGAGTGCTACATAAACGTTTACAATATTTCGCTATATATATGTATTCCATACGTGTCTGAGAGTATAACACATTACAAACTAGCATAATTATGTAAATATATATTTATATAGTTTATATTTATATATATCGTATGGTGGTTTTCTTTAATTTGTTGTTATGAAGGCCCAGTTGATGTCTAACTATAACCCCGGAGGCAGTCAGAAAGAAGTATATTCGAATGGATGTACACAATTTGAGCGCTGTACGTGATGCGAGGGTTGAGAGGAATCTTTCTATATACGGTATCAGTACATATCATATGATTAATCTGTAGACCTGCTGCTGTGTCGTTGTATGTGGCTCGGGGGTAAACGCAAATAAACCAGGCAACAAATTTTGATGCATTGCTTTTCCGACTCTCTGGTTTATTCCCGTTGTATTCCCGATCGTTAAACTGCTAGATTGAAGTCCGTCTAAGTCTGTAGCTGTATCTGGATGTGGTTGGTTGGAGGTGGTGGATCGTGTTTTTGGTGTTTGTTCTTTTTGTGTGAGC